ATGATGCTGTTTATGCTGATACTGATGATGATGCCCGCGCGTCGCCGATGAAAATTTTTGGAAGATTTCGACATGCGCGCGGCCGGCGCGCGCGAATGGCCCGCATGGTGTCATTTGACAGCGATTTTGCGCCCCCCCCCCGCAGGCGCGCGAGGGCGTTCGAATGAATTGGACATCCGCGCGCGCGAGAGGCCCGCGTGGTCTCACGTGGCCAGAATAGTGAGTCACCTATAGTTTGTATTAGAGGTCACAAGGGCGCGCGCAATATTGTTTTAATAAGCTTGCGGGGAACTCGGTTTTGAAATCCGTACGCAACCTATTTTTTTGTTTGATCCCAGCGCGCGCGCGACGACGCGCACGTGTGGATGCTGTCGCATGTTTCGCGGGGGGTTGTCAATATCTATGCGGGGTGGTCTACGAATGTGCGCGCAAAGTCTTGTTTGGCAGGGATGAAGGGTGTGGTAGGGGTACGCACCAGTGGTAGAACGATCTCATCCACAAAATGAACAATGAGGCAGGAGCATCTGACATGTTGTGTGCAATATCCCGGGGTGGATCGATAATTCTAGGGGGGCAACCTACTTGATTTGTATCCTCTCTCTCCCTCTCTCTCTCTCCCTGCTCGATCTCTCTTCTCTGATAGAAGAAACAGCAAAAGGGCATACACATAAACTGTTGGCGCTCCGCGCGGATCTCTTGGATCTGCGCTGGAACCCCCTTCCTGGCGCGCGGAGCGCGCCGGGGGCGGCGCCAGAGGCGCCGCTGGGGGGGCCCAGCGCGGATCCCAAAAATCCGCGCGGAGTGCCAAAAGAGTATGTTTATGGCGTTCTTCCTTCTTCGATCTCAGGGGGGAGAACAAGCAGGCCGCGGGCCCTTTCGACGCGGCGGGTCGCGCCGCCGAACTGCCGCGGAGAAGCCGCGGTGCACCGGGCGGGACGGCAGGCGCTCTGCCCGCCGCGGGCCGTCGGCTTGGCGAGGCTGGCCGGCGGCTCTGCCCCGCACGAGGTCGGACGGGGCCTAGCTTCAGAGGAGAAAAAGGTACCCATACCTCCTTTTGCTGCTCCTCCTGCTCCATGCTGTATCGGGGACTGGTTCAAGTAAGCCTTTATTGCTACCCCCCCTATCCGCGATCCACCGAACGGCACCTTATCCGGAGCTCTTGGGATACGAGCTACGGGCTACGTCGTCCAGGGTGTTTTCACGCTCATCAACCTCTCAAGCTTCCAGCTCTACCCTTCGCCCGTTTTCCTCTTTTTGGGCCTCCTGGGAGGCCCTCGTCGCCACCGCTGCATTCGCCTCGAGATTCTGAACAGAACGCACCCCGGGAAAGGTCCGGGGAGTAGCGGGTAGCGGTATCGGTACCTATTGGTTTCCCTACGAGCTTAGCCGCCCCGACACGCAACACGCAACACGAGGCGTATTGATACGGAGCTCAACACGTATCCTGAATACGTGGGTCCGACGCGATAGAGTCGCCAAAACGTGGTCTCATACGTGGAGCCGACACGCAACGTATCGGCACGGACGTCTTGAGTACGGCACGTGTTGCGTATCAAAACGAGCGTATCTAGGCAGCTAAGCCTAGAGTTGGAAGCAGGAAGCGCACCACCACCACCTCCACCGCCACCACCACCACCACCACCACAACCACCGCGCACGTTCTGGTGAGCCAGCGCGCGAGGCCCGGAGCACGGCCGGCCCCTCGTGCGGGCGGCGGGCCCGACGCGCGCGTGGGCGGCAGCAGGAACCTCTTCCGCCTCCTCCTCCATCCTTCATCCTCCATCCTCCTCTCCCTCCTCCATCCTCCTCCTCCATCCTCCTCTCCCTCCTCCCTCCTCCATCCTCCTCTCCCTCCGCCATCCTCCGTCCTCCATCCTCCTCTCCCTCCTCCATCCTCCTGCTCCATCCTCCTGCTCCCCCCTCCTCCGTCCTTCTCCACACTCCCTCCTCCTCCTCCTCCTCCCCCGCCTCCTCCCTCGTGCGGGCGGGGCGGCCGCCGACTTTGGCCGCCGCCCTGGAGCTATAAAATTGGAGGCTGTCGAGGGGCGAGGGGCGTCCGCTCCACCTCGGGCGCGCAGGGCGTCGCTGCGCCCACCTCCTCCCCTCTGCCCTGCCGCCGCTCGGGGGTCCGTCCCCCCGCGCATGTCTCGGCCAGGTGCGAGTCCGGACTGCTCCTCGCTGGCCCTCGCCCCGAGACACAGACGGCACACGCCCGAGCGGCGCCGAGCCGAAGAGCTGCACACCGAGCGGCGCAAGACAGGAGCCGCCGAGAGTGGCACGCGGACGCCTCGGGGCGGCGCCGGGGCCGGGGGCGCCGCCACGAGGGCTCCCGCGCAGCTCCAAAGCACCTGCGGGGCCTCCGTAGGGCTCTGCTTGTGCCGGCGCTAGCTGTCTCCATCGCACCTCCGAAGTCTCCTCCTCGTGCAAGCTAATACATATAGGTCTGAGTATACAGGTGTGCGTTAATACATATACATATATATATATATTATGTGTATATATAAAAATATAGTATGCATGTATGTATGTATGTATGTATGTATGTATGTATGTATGTATGTATGTGTGTGTATGAATGTATGTATGTATGTATGTATGTATGTCCGTCTGTATGTATGTATGTATGTATGCATGTCTGTATGTATGTATGTATGCATGCATGCATGCATGCATGTATGTATGTATGTGTACATATATATATATCCCGCCTCTAACGAGTTTTGCCCTCCCCAAGCCTCCGGGCAACCCTTCTAACGACCCGGGAGAATCTCACGAGAGCCCGAAGGCGTTCCGGCGCTCTCCCGAAAAAAACCCAAAGAGCTCCAAAACAATCCACGACTAACCCCCAGAAGTCGTCATACCCCCAAATATTGCTCCAACACATCCCAAGAGGCCTCCAAGAGCACTCCCAAGAAGGCCCCAAGAGGCTAAAATCAGTGATTTCCTATAGGTTATTGGTGAAATTTAGGGTTCTCCTCTTTTCGGCTTCCCGACGCTCCCAGACGGCGGTCTTCTGGGCGTCCGAAGCAGCCTGGGAGGCTCCAAATCGCCCCACAACCATCCGACAGGGCGTCCAGGCAGTCCAAGTGAGCCCCCAAACGACATAACAGGGGTCCAAGATGGTCCTCCAAGAGCCCCATGGCGGCCCAAGATGGCCCCAAGACACCCTCCGAAGCATTCAAAATCGTGACCCAGTCGTTCAGGGAGACACCGGTTGGAGGCAGGGTGGCCCGCGGAAGCCCCCAGAGGCCCCCAGAACACGCCCAGGAGGCCTCCAGAAGGCTTTATGGAAGTCTGAACAACTGTTGTTGTGAGGCCCCCAGAGGCTCTCCATGGAGAAGCCTCCGCAAAAAAGAGCCGAGGAGGGTGGGGAGACTGCGCAGGGTATGGCGAGAATGAAGAAAATAATCATGGAGGAAAGATAACGAATCACATTACTATAACGGTGATGCCGAAAAAGGCAACAAGGAATATCGCTAAATTGTCGGCTGGACCTTCCTGCCATTCCGCCTGCATGCCAAACTTCAAGGACCAAGGTGCGTGGCGCGAAGCGACACTGCAGTCTTGTATGTATGTATGTATGTATGTATGTATGTATGTATGTATGTGCACATATATATATATACATACATACATACATACACGCGCTAGGACAGGCAGGCGGCGAACGCGAAACCTCTGGAAGAGCCAGGCGAAGCTGTACAGCAGGAGCTGGACAATGACCCGGCGAGTACGCGTGGGGGAATCACTGCCCGCCGGAGCCTTCCTTCATAATCAGGGCGTCAAGTCACCCCAGACATCCCTGGTACGTTGACCCGCTGAGGATGCCAAGTGCTGTCTGGCACGCAGCAGCGGGAACACGTAGAACTTGGGAATTCATCAAAGCTGGCAGGTGTTGGAGAAGAGCAGCCTCAGAGGTGCAGACGAGAGCTGCTACATGGAACGAACACGTCCGAGCGATGCCAAGAGGAGGGAACCCGAAGAGGTTATGCGCAACGACCGTTTCTTGCGCCTACGCTCCGCGGGTGGAAATGACATGCATCCGAGAGAAGGCAGCGCTCCAGAGCCATTCCACTCTGACTAGCTGCAGCGGGAGGAGGAGGAGGAGGAGGAGGAGAAGGGCATCGGGGAGGACGAGGAGAAGAGAGAAGAGGGGGGGAGAGTCACTGACGTTGGGTGTGCATTTCCCCTGGGCCAGCTGACCACCTATAGGTAGGCCCAGTACAGCAGCAGACAAATGAGAACAGGCCAGTCACAGCATGGCAAAATCTATGCGTCGTCGTCAGCGAGGTATTACGACGAAGCCGAAGCAAGAAGAGATGGCAGAAAGAGAGAGAGAGAGAGAGAGATAGGGACGAGGAATAAGAGGAGGAAAAAGGGGCAACGCAACTTGACAATGAGCACCAGTGCGCGGAAAGCCAGTACAAATGGCAACGGCGATGAACGTCAACCATTCAAGGCGATTCAGAAACACCCAAAGCATATAGGGTGACGGAAGAGATGAGATGCACGAATACTCGTGCAAGAAGGAGCCCATCTGGGAGCCACGGTGGACACCACGCCTACACGGGCATACCAGTTCGGCAGCAGTCGCTGACTCATTTTCCTCTTCCTCCACCCCCCGCCGCTGGGTTTACTCTGGTCCTCCTCCACCTCCTGCGTTGACAGAAGCAGCCAGCAGCCTCACCTTGAGCGAAGGTGGGAATCACGCCCACACAGACAGCTTGGCAAAGTGCAGGGCTGAGCAAACTGGTGCACAGGTGTAGTACAGGAGGGGTGTTTGCAGTCTAACGCTCGCAGGAACGAAGGTGTGGCGACGGAAGAGGGCGGGGAGGAAAAGGGGAAAGAGGAAGAAGTCCTAGTAAGGGCCCATGAGTCTGTGGTTTACGCTGGTCCTCCTCCTTCACCTCTTCCTCCCCCCCCCCCTCCTCCTCCTCCTCCTCCTCCTCCTCCTCCTCCTCCTCCTCCTCCTCCTCCTCCTCTACCTGTGCAGAGGAAGCTCAACTCTGCTCGCTCCCGTCCTCCGAGAGCAGCGAGGCGGTCGACGCATCCTCGTCCGCCTCGTCATCTATACGAACGCCCTTGGTCTCCGGCAGCACCAGCTGGACGAGCACGGCGTTCACCACACAGAACACGCCCGCGGCGACGAAGTACCACAGGCCGGTGCCCGTCCGGGCGAGGAGGGCCTCGAAGACCCACGGGGCCGAGAAGCTGCCGATGCGGCCGCAAGCAATGCAGACCCCCGAGCCGCCGGCCCGCGCGCGCGTGGGGAACGCCTCCCCGACGTACGTGTAGGCAAAGGACCAGCCCACGGAAATGAACAGCCGCCCGCTGTTGAAGCCCAGCTCCACCAGCGCCAGCGCCGTGCGCTGCCTCGGCGGGCCGTCCGCAGCGCCCTGGGCTGCGGCGGTAAGCAGCAACACCTCCAGGCCACAGACGAACACGGCCATGGACACCCCGGTGCCCACGAGATACGTGAGGGCCAGCATCTTCCTACCCATGCGGGGCGCGAGCACGCAGCCAAGACCGTATCCGGCCGTATCGGACAGCGTGGACACCAGCATGCTCTGCGAGGGCGACACCCCCAGGTCCACAGAGCCCAGCACCTGCGGCAGCGCGTAGTACTGCCCGTAGGAAATGAAATTCAGCAAGCACGTGGTGAAGCCGAGGACAAGCGTCACGGGCCGATAGGCTCGGCTGAACACGGTCGCGAAGGAATCCAACACATTAGGAGCTCGGGGCCTGCTGCCATCCACCGAAAAATTCAGACTGACGTCGGGCCTCCCGTTCTGAAGACGCATCGCCTCGAGCTGCTCGCGCGCTTCCGCAAGCCTCCTCTGCCTCATCAAGAAGGTGGGAGATTCGACGAAGCCTGGCACCACAGCGAGCACCACGAAGAGCGAGTTCAGGACGCTGGAACACTGAACGATCGTGGCCCAGTGCTGCCTGGAGCTGACCGCATCGGACGCGAACACGTAAGATATAGAAGCGCCCCACACGGTCGCGACGGAGAACAGTGTCATGGAGACAGCGTTGGCATGGTACCTCCAATCGGACGGCGTCGTCTCCATGCAGAGGGCGTTGTACGTTGGCACGCCGAGGCCTAGAGAGGCGCCCATGAGAATCCACAGAGCAAGCAACGACCAGAAGTTGTGCACGACCGAGGACGCGCCAGCAAAGAGCAGCACGCCCAGCATGGAGAGCAGCAGGGGCCTCCGCCGGCCGACGCTGTCGTTCTTGAGGCAGGCGATGTTGCCGACGAACATCCCCGCGAACGCGGCCGAGCCCAGCGCCGCCTTCTGGCAGGGAACGAGGCCGAGCTCCACGGCGATCGGCACCGAGAAAGTGGTTATGAAGAACAGGTTCACCCCAGCGAGGACGTAGATGAAGCCGGCGAAGAAGACCACCCGAGCCTGGCACAGCCCGAGGCCCAGATCGTCGATCACGTCGCTCAGCGCGCGCCGCGCGCCCACATCCCCGCCCACGCCGGCGGCCACGGCCGCGTCCCAGTCGGCCGCCGGGCCCTCGCTCGGCGTCCCCGCGGCGCTGCCTCCGCCCGCGTCCACCGCGGGGCCCGCGGCCGCGCGCATGGCCAGCGCCGGGGCGCCCAAGGGGCCCCAAGGATCTCGTGTGCCAACATGGCTAAGGATCTGTGGTGCAACCAGCGTTGTGCGATCCAGAATGTGCAATCTGTGCGGCGCAAGCTGCGTGGTGCAATTGACTTTGACTCCCTCGCGCGACCGCTTCCCATGCTCGGGCAAACATCCCACCCACCCGCCCGCACTTTGGTTTGCAGAACCCCTTGCGGCGGCGATTGCGATGACTGTTTGGCGCTGCTGGCGCATCGTGGCGGCCGCGTTAGCGCTCGCATGCACGCGCGCAACCGCACGCGAAGAACGGCATCCTAGTCTGGCGCGACCGACGCGGCCGTGGTGGCGCTGACCGCTGGGAACTTCCTGGCGCGTCTCGCGGGCCGCGCTGACGCGCGGGCACTTCAGTGCGAGTCGGAGACACTGGCGGGCGCAGTATCACGGCGACGTCGCCAACGGCAGACACGATGATAGTAGCGATGCTGGTGAGGACGATGACGATGACGACAGCAAGGCCAATGACAGCACCGATGCTGCTCACGCCGATAACGATGGTGTCCACGTTTCGGTGATAAAGGTTTTGGACACATGTCGACATGCGTGCGCGGCCGACGCGCGCGAGCGGCCAGCACTGTTTTATGTGACAGGGATCGTGCCCCCCCCCCCCCAAAAAAAAAAACACGCGCACAAGGGCGTTCGAATGATTTCGGCATGCGCGCGCGACAGGCCACTTCGGTCTTACATGATGAGGCGTTCGTAGGGATTCGCAAGAGCGCGCGTGCAGGCGTTGTTGAAACATCCGACTGCTGAACCCAAAAGCTTTCATACGTTTTCGGGACACTCGATTTTGAAGTTAACCGAACAATTTTTCGGGGGGTCAGAGTGCTCCAGCGACAACGCGCGCGTATGCATATTGTCGCATAGACTGCAAGCGATCAGGGTGAAATGATGAGTGTTGGCACACGAATGCGCACGCATCTTACACTCTGCAGGGGATGTAGGCGGGCGGCCAACCTGGCCTGCCGAGGATGAGATGAATTTGCACATGTGCAGTGCGACTCAGATGTAGACAGCACATCCCCAAGAGAAGAGGGAGCAGATAATCCTGGGGGGGAGACGCTAATTCTCTGTCAGAGCAGGGAATATGTATGGTGCAGTCCTTGTTGCGGCGACGAGGCAGCGACCGCGCTGAAACGGCGACGACATAGCCGCCATACCAACCCGCAGGCCTGAACGACGGGCGGCGACGAGGGGGCGACAGGGCGGCGACGGCGACGACATAGCCGCCAGATCGACGCGCAGGCCCAGACAACGGGCGGCGACGAGGCGGCGACATCGACGAGGTAGCCGCCAGACCGATCCGCGGGCACAGCTCCGTGGACTTTAAGTAAGATACCCTTGTCAGTACAAGCACTCTTTGGGTAAAAAAGGCGCCCGTGATGCCCTTCATTTAAGCGTCAACTCGACAAGTCATGTGTTCGACCATTCCTGCTCCTCCTCCTTCTTCTCCTCCTCCTCACATTTCTCATCCTTCTCATCTACGTGTTCCTTCCGAAGCTGCCATCGGCTTGCCGCCGTTGATGGAGCGGCACCCTACCTCGCAGGGTGCCGCCCCTCATACAGCCCGCAAAGATACGACGATGGTGTGCTGCAGTGCTGTTACGTCATCTTGAGAAATGTGGGAGGGAATACCCTAGACAAAAAACGGATTTAACCGTGACAACTGTTTGAACGTGTCCCTGTGTTGTGTGTGTGTGTGGTTGTGTGTGTGCGTGCGGCACCGTGGACCAGACAAGACCAACATACAGAGCCGACGAATGAGGGCCTTCGCGCTCATACGCGCGTCGGCATTAGTCGGCCATGCGCTCCTCTCACACGTCGTCAGTCCATATCAATGCACGTCTCTCCAAATGTTCGCAATGTGCTCCCTCCGTGCATGTAGCTGTTGATACTGCGACACGCTGCAAGCGTCCATTGCCACGATCACGGCTACGTGCTGCATGCTCTCCATGCAGGAACCAACATGTGCAAGAGCAACACTCGCTGCACAAGAAATGTCTCGCCTGCCCAGCCACCTCGCCACTGCCCTCGAAGTCCTCGCATGAAGAAAATGTTAGGTGCACATCAGATGCGAGACAAGTGGAACCAAGCAGGCAGTAGCTGCCGCGTGCGACTCAAAGTAAGAGAGTCTGCTTCCTGCTTACTCCATCGATGGCCAAGAGCAAACTAGAAATGCGCAAGCACATTAAACATGCATGTGATGCCCACATAAACCAAATACCACACGGACGTGCCAGCGATCCGGCTCCGCCTGCACGCTGAGGAAACCAAAGGTTGTGAACCTTGCTCCCAGTCCTCAGCAAACCTCCGCAAGGGACACACCTGCCAAATGAAATTGGATCGACAGAATCCTACCCACCAATCTGCCGCCCCTCGCCCCCAGCCTCTGTTCCGGGGCGAGCATTCACATAGAAAGATAGTCGCAAAGAAATGCTGTCTGCAGGGGGAAACGATCCAAGCTGGAAGCACTGGGCAGCAGTAGAGACCATGAAGTGAGGGTTACCAGGGAGAAGCAACAACGAAATGCTGGAAACGCCTGGGGGCACGGGCTGGCATGGAAGGAAGGGCCCACGGAGTGTGAGGGAGGGGGGCTTCAGTGGTTGCAGATGAACTGGATGCAGACACCATTGGATCTGAGGAAGAGGATGCACCCGATCGTGGGAGGCACCAAATCAGGAGAGCGGAAATACTTGAAAACTTATGGTTGCAGCAGCCTGAACACACAAGTGCAAGCAATGGGTGGGAGAAGACAGCATGAGATAAGCAGCGTAGCGTTGTGTCCTCCAGCGCTGAGTGCGCCGAATCCAGTCCCTCCTGGCAAACCGCGCAGCCAAATGTGACGCGAGCCCTTCTCTCCGAGACAGCCCCTCGCAATACTCGTCGCGTGCTTCTCAGCTGGCGTATGACCTCCTCTGGCTACTCTTGCGTGCTTTTTCTGCCTCTTCATGCTGATAGATTCACCATCTCGCAACACTGTTTCTAAAACAAAGCTAGGAACGGAACAACATCGGATCGGGATATGTCAGGGATCTATGAGATCCCGCCGTGCTGGAGGATGCATCGGGCGCTGCGCCCGTTCCAGAGGGCCCCAGCAAACTCTCAGAGCCTTTCTGAACGATCTAGAGCAGTTTATCTCGATCATGGGCCTGGTTGAGATTCGCTCCCCCTTGGGAGAAAGTCATTCGACACCCAGGTTTCCACGGCACCGTGTCGCCGGCGCAGGGGACGGGGCAGCCGCAGGCGCGTGCGAAACCCCCGAATGAGGCTGCAGGCGCTGCACCTCTCACAGGCATGAGCAGGCCGCAGCACATGGCGAGATCTGAAAACCCTGGATCAACAAAAAGTTGTCGTCTTGATGATCCTCAGAACGTGTGTTGACAATTTATCGAGAGGCAAGATAGCCCCAAGACGGGCCCCGAGGGGCCAAAGAGAGCCCCATGACCGTCCAAACGGGCCCCGAAACGTCCAAAGTGCGCTCCAAGACAGACCAAAATGGCCTCTGGTCGGCTCAAGAGGCCCCCAAGATGCCCCGAAAAGGCTCCAAGCCCCCAGAATTCACCAATAATCCACTGGTGTTCCTGATTTGTTGCCGGCATTTTAGCGCCGTCGGCGCGGTGCAGGTGATGACACACGCACGCCCGCACGTACACATGCATACCTACATGCACTCTGACACACATATCACACACTCACACAGCATTGCCTACACACATACGCGTATACGAACATACACGCGCCCATCACTTGCATGTATACGTTACGCTCACACGCAATGCCCACACATGTAGTGCGCACACATACACGCACACATACACACTACGAAAACATACGCAAGCGCATGCACGTACTCATACACCTGCACCTACATATACACGCACACGCACACAAACACAACGACATAGACACACACATACACACACACACACACGCACACGCACACACACGAACATGCATGCACACGCGCCAGCCGTGAACTCGTGCCCGAGCCGGATCGCCACAAGGGCCCCGCCCCGATCCCAAAAACCCGCACGCGGACCTCCGAGCACAGATCCGACGAATCCGCGCGGACCTCCGAGAAATGATGCTCCTGCCGTAGATTCACCGTCGATCGGGGCTCCGTAAACGGGGGTTGAGCTACACGGGGGCTGAGGCTTTTCCATATGCCCCCCATCTACTGTGCCCCCTTCTACGGCGCCCCGGGCCCCCGAAACGGGGGCATAGCCCAACGTGGGAATCGGCGTGGCCCCTGCCCCCGTTGGCTGTGCCCCCCGTCTCTGGCGCCCCGAGTCGAGTGAGCCCTCTCACGGCCGGGCGCTCCTGGCACGTGCCCCGGATCGCGTGCAGCTGCGCAATCTCGACCTTGGCGAGGCTGGCGGCCACCGCGTCGCCGGCCTCCAACGGGGAAGGGTCAAGTCGGGCCTGTCCCCCTACAGGGGGATCTTCGACGAAAGATAAAAAATACCCTAGTCCAAAAGTAGTCTGGGGACGATTTTTTTGAGTATATGTTGACCTGTTTGGGGTCTTTTTGGGGTATGCTTTATTTTTCGTCGAGAACCCCTCTGTAGGGGGACACGCCCGACATAATCCAAGGGGGGAAGGGGGAGGGGGGTCGGCCGCGATCGGCCGCGAGAGGCCGCTGCAGGGTGCCCTCTGGGGGGTGGGGGTCCTGCTCCTCCCTCCAACTCCTCCTCCTCCTCCTCCCCCTTGCTCCCTCCTCCTCCCTCCTCCTTCCTCCTCCTGCTCCTCCCTCCTCTTGCCCTCCTGCTCCTCCTCCTCCTCCTCCTCCTCCTAAGCTTCCCTCTTCACTTTTCCCTCCTCCCTCCCCCTCCTCCTCCTCCTCCTCCTGCTCCTCCTCCTCCTATTCCTCATCCCCATCCTCCCTCTCGCGCGTTCTTCTCATTGTCGTCTTCCTTTTACCACGGCGTACCTACTCCCATTCTTTCGCAGGGCCTGCCACACGCACTGTGTCGGCCACTCCTCCCTCGTCCTGATCATCGGCCTTCTCTTCCATCCCTCCGACATCATCCCTCCTCCCTTGTTCTGACAACGGTGATGTTATTTTCGGCAGGCCACTGGACCGATATCGGTTTGATACATGACGCGTTGGTTGCAAACGAGAACGGAAAAGAAGATCCAGAATACACTGCCCGCACAATTACATTGAAACGCACAGGATCAGATACTACCTCCGCCCCTGCCAAGGCACTCATAACTAACTACACACAATCTTACACACAAGCACCCCCCTACACACAAAACATAAGCCGCCCCGTCGGTCAAGCGAATTGAGCTTAAGCTACAAGCATGCGATGCCTTCCACAAGAAGCCCTGCGTCACTGTGCCATTTCATGATCGGCTGTCTGGTTTTCTGGCGAGGGCAAAGTGGCCGCGGCATGATAACCGAATCGCAGAAACTCAATGAACGCAAGCCCGCTGTGGGGTCACAACTCAGCCAAGGTTCAGACCCCTCGCGGTAAAACTCATCGCGACAACCTCCCTGAACGACTCAATGTGTGCCACTTGCTGGGGTGATAATGCTTGGTTTGGCCGTCTCCCTCCCCCGCCTGTGAAGAGCGATCCTGGAGGGAGGGTGGTATTCAACATCGTTGATGAGTCTTGGGTTTACACTGGTCCTCCTTCTCCTCCTCTTCCCCCATTCTTCTCCTCGTCCTCCTCGTCATCCTCCGCCTCCTCCTTCTCTTCCTCCGCTGCCCCTCCTCCTCCTCCTCCTCCTCCTCCTCCTCCTCCTCCTCCTCCTCCCAGATTCCTCTTAAAATAAGGGGCGAAAGGGGGTCCAGTAGGGCTCGCGTGCGAGTCCCAAAATGGTGCGCCTGGCTGTAAGCGCCACCAAGGCAGCCCAGTATGTCTCCAATGTGGCCCAAGATAGTCTCTAAGGTAGGCTCCATGATGGGCCTGTTTTCCACCACCACCACCACCATAAGTTGGAGGGGGGAAGGAGGAGGAGGAGGAGGAGGAGGAGGAGGAGGAGGAGGAGGAAGAGGACCCCTCCCCCCATCCAACTTGTGGTGGTGGTGGTGGAAAACATGCCCATCACTCCACTGGGCTGTGCCTCGTTCAAGCAGCTCGTTTTCGCACCTGCTGCAAGCGGGGGAATGAATACGCCTGTCTGCGCGATTTACGTAATGCCACCAGCCCTTTAGGGCGTGTGAAATTTAGGGGTCTTCCTCTTCCAACCCCCCTTCTTCCCAGTCCGGGAGGGGTTTACCCCTCTCCCCCCCCCTCCCTATGTACCTGCGGGGGGGGGCGCGAGGGGTTTGAGCGTCCAAAGCGGCCCCTCGGCGAGGAAGCCACAATCATTGACTGTACATGGTTTTGGCCACAATTTGGCCTCGTGGGGTAGGGGCGTAATTGAGTACGGCCCGTCCTTTGATCGATCTCCTCCAAGATGGCCCCAAAATGGCCCCGAGGCTCCTAAGGGTGCCCGGGGACGGCCCCAAGAGGTGCCCAGGAGGCCCCTAAAGGCACCCAATAGGCGCCCAAGATACCCCAAAGAAGCCCCCAAGAGACCCCCAGTTGACCCCAAGAGGTTCCCCCCTCATTGGTGTTACCATAGTTTTGGCCACATGTTGGCTTCCTGACGGGGTGGCCCTAATAAAGGAGACCCCATTCCTTTGATCGATCTCATCCAAGATGGCTCCAAGATGGCCCCCGAGGCTCCCAAGGGTGCCCCAAGACGCCCAGGAGGCACCACGAGGCCCCCACGATACCCCCAAGATGCCCCCAAAAGGCCTCCAAGAGACCCCCAATTGACCCCTAAGAGGCCCCCCCAGAGGCACCCAAGACGCCTCAAGGGGCCCCGGGGACTGCTAAGAGATCCCAAGACGCCCAAAGAGGACCCCAAGAAACTCTCGACCACCAAGACGCTTAAGAGGACCAGACGCCTCACCAACAATCATCAATACCCACACCCTGGGCTCATTCACCCAATGGCTCAAACGTGCGACGACGACAACCTCGGCGATGGCGACGGGGGTGATTACGACGGCGGTAGCGGAGACGATAGCGACGATGGCGGCGACAGCGCGGAGGGGGGCGACGACGACGCCGGCGCCACCGATGACGATGACGCTTGCGACGGGTACGGCAAGGGCGACCGCGACAAGGTCGGCAACAACGAGGGCGAAGACTTCGACGATGGCGATGCAGCGACAACGACAACGAATACGACGGCGAACAAGCGTCGGAAACAAACCCTTCGCCAATCGTTTTACGGCTGCCAGCTGTGCGTGACATCTTTCTCCTTCTCCTCATCCGCGTCATCCGTCTCCAGCACTCCCTTCCACAACAGCGGGAGACACACAACATCTCACAGCTTGGCCAGACTTCGGCCAAAGGATTGGCCCGATAAGGGTTTTCAGAAGGGCAGTGGGCGGCACTGAGTCTCTGTAGGCGTCTTCGATAGGTTGGGCACACCGACACCTCGAGGACAACCAACAATATGCTGCGCCAGGTCCCGAGGAGATTCTGCCCAAAAGCGATGTCCGGGGCAGGGTGTTACACGGACACCATACTCTGGCCCCGGCCCACTTCCCGAGCACGCCTGCCCCGCAGCCCCCCCACACCTGGACAGCGCGGCGACGAGGTCGCGAAGCTGCGCGACTGGACACTAATCAGCGCCACCAGTACGATGAGTACCCTCCCAAATTTGCTCCTGCGTATAACCACACGTACTCCGAACGCTACTGGTACCACACGAAAGGTATACAAGCAGTGTCTTCATGAAGAAGCACGGGGCCCATCAACGCCCCCTATGTAGAAAGCGAGGCTGCTACTCTTGCCACAACGGGTCCTGCCTTCTCTACCTCCCTCTCTCCACCCTGCTGTTTTGTCCTTGCACCCTCTCGCTGATCCATTTTCACTCCTCCTTCTCCTCCTCTCCATTCCCCATCTCTTCTCTCCATTTACCTCAGTACGACCAGGACTCCTGTATCGCAGCGATGCCATGACATGGGCGTGTGCACTGTTGGACAGCATAACTAATGCATCGCGGCTGTCATGCGGCAGGCTTCACAACACGACTCAACCTCGATCTGTACCATGAGCCCTGACTTTCCAGAAACCATCTCGATCGTAACGCGTTGCCCCCCCCTGCCCGCCTTGCGCAGATCCGTATTGTGTGCGGGCGCTCCAACCTACTCCCGAAGCGGGCGAATGACTCCAGCTGCACTGCAGTTGGTTAATCCCGGTGCGCTAGACGCTGTCCCAGGGTGGGCGGCCTATATCTATCCGATCCCCAAGATGAAAATCCCAATGCGCCGTCGGGGGACTTCGCTAGGCCGAGCCCACGGCTGGAAGCCAGGCATGTGCTTGGTGTGTGGACCTCGTGCCGCCGAGGTCAATATGAGACCAAACAATTCAGCGGTTCGTCTCCTCTCGATTCATTTAGCTATTGAGGTCCATCCCACGCTCCGTCCATGAGGGAAAGGGGAAAAGGGGAACGGGGTGGCAGATGGAAGGGTCAAGTTTGAGAGGAGGACGAGGGCAAGGGGGGAGCAGCAGTAAGAGGACGAGAATACACAGCAGGAGGGGTGGGTGGAGGATGGCGGTGGAGGAGGAGGAGGAGGAGGAGGAACAACAGGAGCAGGAGGACGAACAGGAGCAGGAGCAGGAAGAGGAACAACTAGACGATGACAAGGACAAACAGGATCAGGATTACGTAGGTCGGGCATGTCCTCCTACAAGCGGACTGTGGAAGAATAGTAACAGATAGCCAACACATAATCCAACATAAGCACAAGAGAGCACGAACAACCGTGACCATACTAGTTAAGTTACTATTATTGAATTCCCCTCCTGTAGAGGAACATGCGCGACTTACGACCAGAAGGAACTAGTGGTGGTACTGCGACCGCTGACGTGCGCGTTCGGAAGAAATGCCGCCGCACTCGTCGCGCGAAGACTGGGGGCCCGCCTGCGTGTGAGCACGCCGCTGGCCGCTGAAAACTGTGACGGACTGAGCGAGGCGCGGCGCGCCCGCCCGCTGTGCAATGGTCGGCGACGAGCGGGGGGAAGTGCGAATCGGGCGCACGGTAACATTGATGGGCTGATTTTGCACCACCACTGCAATAGGCAGGACGGGGGGGAAGGGAGGATGGGGAGGTCCTCCTCCTCCTCCTCCTCCTCCTCCTCCTCCTCCTCCTCTCCTCCTCCTCCTCCTCCTCCTCCTCCTCCTCCTCCTCCTCCTCCTTCTCCTCCCCCTCCTCGTCCCCCTCCTCCTCCTCCCCCTCCTCCTCCTTGTGCTGGTACACGGATGGCTCCATGAAGTTTGGGCCTGTTTGGGAGCTCCGGCGCACTGGATGCGCGCTCGTGGTCGTGTCCGAGAACGGGGACCTCGTGGCGTACGGCTGCGCCGTGCCTCCGCCCTGGATCCGCACGGCGGCGGCGGCAGAGCTCTGGGCAGTCATGCTCGTGCTTACCATTACCCTCAGGCCGCCGACCATTCGCACCGACTGCCGGGCGCTCCTCACGGCGGCTGCTGCTGGAACGGCGCAGGCCACACAACCCACACGGATGCTTGCGCAGGTGTGGTCTCGAGTGTCCACCCTCGTCGACGGTGACATCTCGGAATTGGTCTCTGCAGGCAAACTTACGTGGATGCCTGCTCATGGCAACCAGACCGTCATTGGCACGGCCATGAGGTCTGACGAGCACGTTGTCACGGCGATTGACTGGAGAGCAAATCGCCTGGCAGATGTCCTTGCCAAGGCTGCTGCCGGCGGCCCGCCGCCCTGCGGCCCAGCTTCGGCGCTGTTTGCCATCGCAGAAAGGCTCGTCGCGCACGAGGCCGCTGTGTTGGGGGCCGTCACATACGCTGCAAATCACCACGAGCGCATCCTGTGCGGACCCGGAGGCGCCCTCAAGCGGGTCACGGTGCGCGATTCCGCTGCCGTGCGGCGGCCGCGGGCCCGGCCTCGCGCTGCTGCCGCCCCAGCGCCGCCGGCGGCACTGGCGCAGCCGCCGGCGCTGGTCGGGCACGAGCTGGCCGGCCTGCGCGCGGCTCACGCGCCCGCGGCCCGGCCCCGCGCTGCGCTGGGGGCCCGGGGCAAAGAGCGCGCCGCCGCGGCGCGCGCGGCGTCCGCCGGCCGCGCTGCTGCGGACGCGGCTGCCACGCAGGCCATCTGCGCGGCGCGGGCCGCTGCCCTGCGGCCGTCGTCGGCACCGCCGGCTGCCGAGCGGCTGGCCGCGCTCCGGGCGAGGGTCCTTGCTCGCGTAGGCTGCGGGTAGGGCCCCGGGAGCCTCCTCCTCCTCCTCCTCCTCCTCTTCCCCACTAATTCGGTGCCACGAGCTTTCGCGGGCGCGTCCTGCCATGCCCTGCTGCCCCGGGAGTCTCGCGAGTGGGAAAAAAAAAACCTCGTCCTCCTCCTCCTCCTCCTCCCTCCTCCTCCTCCTCCCTCCTCCTGCTCCACCTCCTCCTCCTCCTCCTCCTCCTCCTCCTCCTCCTCCTCCTCCTCCTCCTCCTCCCTCCTCCCTCCTCCTCCTCCTCCTCCTCCTCCTCCTCCCTCCTCCTCCTCCTCCTCCTCCTCCTCCTCCTCCTCGTCCCCCTCCTCCCTTCCTCCTCCTCCTCCTCCTCCCTCCTCCTACACCTCCTCCTCCTCCTCCTCCCTCCTCCTCCTCTCCTCCTCCTCCTCCTCCTCCTCCTCCTCCTCCTCCTCCTCCTCCTCCTCCTCCTCCTCCTCCTCCTCGTCCTGCTCCCTCTCCTACCTATGGTAGAGGTGGTGGAGGATCGGCCCATCAGAACATGGATTACAGATCCATGGGCGTCGCTCGTGCGCGCCAGCCTCACGGATCAGGGGACGGTGCCCCCCCCCGAAACAGGAGGCCAGCGCCGCCGATCTGGAGACGGAGCGCGCCGAGCCGGCATGGAAAGCGCACGTGCCGCGAATCCACGGGCCTTACAGTCGGGCCCTTGACCTAAGGAACCCTAAATAAGGAACGAGGCCCCTCTTTTCCATAAGTTAAACTTCGATTTCCCATACAAAAACCTAAGGGGAACCCGAGGCAAACTGTAAAACAATCAAGGAACACCGAGCCCCTCCCCAGCGAAAAGGGTACCTTCTTCAGCGCCCCGACTGTAATCCACGTTTGCGGCTCCTCGAGACAAGGAGAGACGGCCGTCTCAGAAGGGGGCGGGGCCTCTCAGACGCGCTCAAGCCGGCTGAGGTGTGCTTTTCTGTGTCCGCGGGGGGGCCTCGGAGACCTTCTCGGCAGGCCCAGGGGAGACTTCCGAGCCGCCTTCTGAGGAGGCCTTCCGCTCCTCACTTTGGGTCGGGCATGTCCTCCTACAGGCGGGCTTTGGACGAATAGTCGGAAACTACAAAGAATGTCAAGAAAATGCTCAATGAATCGTTCCCCGACAATGTTTTGACGATCTTTTAACATTCCTCCTGTAGAGGGGCACGCCCGACTTAGTCCTCTCAGTCCCCCCTCGCTCGCCGCCGACATGAGGCGCAGGCTCGCCAGCGCCGCCACGACCGGCAGAACAGGCCACGGCACGGCCAGAGGTCTGCGGGGGCCCGCGCGGGCTGGCGCTGGGCCCCGGAGCACGAGGCGCACTGGGGGCGTCGCCCGAGGCCGCCAGGGTTCGGTCGGGCATGTCCTCCCACAGGCGGATTTTGGGAGAAATGCGGGAAAAAAAAACTCCGACGGCAGGACCCCGCACGAGAACCTATTTAGTTGCCCCTCGCCCTTTGCTTCTGCAAGGGGCGGAGGTTTTCCTTCCGCCCACTGCGTCCTCCTCCTCCCCCTTCCCTCCTCCTCCTCCTACTCCTCCTCCTCCTCCTCCTTTTTCCTCATCCTCTTTATCCTGTTCCTTCTCGTCCTACTCGTTGCAGGTATGATTATATGTTTCTTCCTCCTCCTTCTCCTCTTTCTCCTCCTCCTCCTCCTCCTCCTCCGCCTCCTTCCCCATCCCCCTCTACTCCTCACGTTCCTCCTCTTTCTCCTCGCCCTTGTCCTCCTCCTCCTCCTCCACCTCCTCTTCCTCCTCCTCCTCTTCCTTCTCCTCCTTCTCGTCGTCCTCCTCCTCCTCCTCCTCCTCCTTCTCCTTCTCCTCCTCCTCCTCCTCCTCCTCCTCCTCCTCCTCCTCCTCCTCCTCCTCCTCCTCCCCCTTATCGCCACCCCGCCTGCTCTCCTCGTGCGCATCTGCTTCCTCCTGGCACGAGCGCGCATGTCGATGGTCCTCGGCGTCGTCGCCGCCTCGGCCAGCACGTGCACATTCTCTAATGGCCACGCCGCGCACCCGTTGGGACAGCCCCGCGCGCCAGGCCGTCGGGACAACCCCGCGAGCCGCTGGCGCGCGAGACATTTCCTCACGTTTCACTCACCGTCGAGGCTCCCGCCTCATACTTCCTCCATATTCAAGCCTCCGGAGCCCAAACGTGACGACAGTTGCAGGAGGCCGATGACCCGCCTCGGATTCGAACATGAAGAAGTGCGGGCCCCGTAGAGAGGGCGTTCCCACCTGAGACTTCCTCGCAATTCACTCACAGATGAGGCCCCCGCCTCATACTTCCTCCATATTCAAGTTTGAGAGCCCAACAGTGACGACGGTTACAAGAGGCCGATGGCCCGTCTCTGACTCGAACATGAAGCGCGGGCCCCGTAGAGAGGGGGCTCCCGCCTGAGACTTCCTCGCAATTCAATCACAGACGAGGCTCCCGCCTCATACTTCCTCCATATTCAAGCCTCAGGAGCCCCAAAGCGACGACAGTTGCAGGAGGCCGATGACCCGCCTCGGATTCGAACATGAAAAAGTGCGGGCCCCGTAGAGAGGGGGCTCCCGCCTGAGAACTCCTCGCAATTCACTCACAGACGAGGCTCCCGCCTCATACTTCCTCCATATTCAAGCCTCAGGAGCCCAAAAGCGACGACGGTGACAAGAGGCCGATGACCCGCCTCGAATTCGAACGTGAAGAAGTGCGGGACCCGTAGAGAGGGGGTTACCGCCTGAGACTTCCTCGCAATTCACTCACAGACAAGGCTCCCGCCTCATACTTCCTCCAGATTCAAGCCTCAAGAGCCCAGTGACGACAGTTGCAGGAGGCCGATGGCCCGCCTCGGATTCGAACATGAAGCGCGGGCCCCATAGGCATGGGGCTCCCGCCTGAGAACTCCTCGCAATTCACTCACAGACGAGGCTCCCGCCCGAGACGACACACAGGCGAGTGATGATAATGACGATGTGAGTGATGATGATGATGATGATGATGATGATGATGATGATGATGATGATGATGATGATGATGATGATAAAACTGATGATGAGGATGATGATGATGATGATGATGGTGATGATGCTGATGGTGATGATGCTGATGCTGATGACAATGATTGAGATGATGATGATGCCAATTGTGATGATGGTAGGCGAGTGGTTGAGTGCGTGATAGTGCGATCGTGTGGTGTGTGAATCCGCCGGCCCCCTTGTGGGGCCATCAGGCTGTAGGGCGAAGGTTCACAGTTTCCTGTACCAGTTGCAGCTTCCAGTTTCCACTGTTACAGTTCTGCTTCTTGCTGCTTACTGTTCCTTGTTGATGGACCGCACGAGGGGGGGGAGGCCTAAACAGGCAGGTTTAGCACGCCCTGAGCGTGTGCTCTGAATTGCTGGGGTGGGTAAAAATTGTCACCCCTCACGCAGCTCGGCGGGGTCAGGGCCCAAAAACACAAGGGATTGTTATATTTCTGATATTCGGTGGCACCCCTCACGCAGATCGGCAGGGTCAGGGTCCAAAAACACATCGGAGTTGCCACATTTCTGACATTCGGCGGCACCCCTCACGCAGATCGGCGGGGTCAGGGTCCAAAAACACATGCGATGCGACACATTTCTGACATTCGGTGGCACCCCTCACGCAGATCGGTGGGGTCAGGGTGCAAAAACACATAGGATTTGCCACATGTCTCAAATTTGCTGGCACCTCTCACGCAGATCGGCAGGGTCAGGGTCCAAAAACACAGGGGATGTGCCACATTTCTCAAGTTCGCTGGCACCCTTCACGCAGATCGGCGGGGTTAGGGTCCAAAAACATATGGGATTTGCGACATTTCTGAAATTCGATTGAACCACTCACTCAGATCGGCGGGGTCAGGGTCCAAAAACACATGGGATTCTCAACATTTCTGAAATTCGGTGGCGCCCCTCACGCGGATCGACAGGGTCAGGTCAGGGTCCAAAAACACATCGGATTTTCCACATTTCTGAAATTCGGCGGCACCCCTCACGCAGATCCGTAGGGTCAGGGTCCAAAAACAGAAGGGATTTGCCACATTTCTGAAATTCGGTGGCACCCCTCACGTAGATCCGTAGGGTCAGGGTCGAAAAACAAACAGGTCCCGACACTGCTTCACGGCGGCGCCCAGACCTCATGATTTAGCTTTTGCATCTCCCATTATTCGAGACAAGGGGCCGGCGGCATGGGGCGAAGTCTTTACGGATAATGATGATGGGGTGAATGATTGAGTGTGAAAAATTGGCTGCGTGATAGAATGGTCGTGTGCGGTGAGTGTGTGACTGGTTATGATGGTGCGCATGATTGAGTGAGTGAGTGTACGACGGGAGAAGAGGCTGAAGGTGTTATGATGATGATGGTGCGTGAGTGATTGAGCGAGTGAACGTGCGAAGGCAGAAGAGGAGAGGGGGTGAGGTGGCAGGACTGCGCGCGATGTCCAAAGAAAACAAGAACCCCACTCAAGATGTGGGGATGAACGAACACATCAGCAAAAATAGTTTAAGATAGCAAATCGTCCCCTGAATATGCATTTTCACCATCTTTCAGCATTCCCCCCGTAGAGGGACACGCCCGAGGAGGCCGCCAGGGCCGACCCGGCGCCGACCCTGGGCCTCCACGTGGACCTCTCCGCAGGGGTTGTGCTCATGCCGTGCCCGTCAGAGGAGGGGCCAGGCGAGACCATGGCGACTCTCCCGCCAGGGCCAGGGAGGAGGAAGAGGAGGAGGTGGAGGAGGAAGAGGGGGAAGAAGAGGAGGAGGAGGAGGGGGAGGGGGAGGAGGAGGGGGAGGAGGAGGACGAGGAGGAGGGGGAGGAGGGGGAGGAGAAGGAGGAGGAGGAGGAGGGGGAGGAGAAGGAGGAGGAGGTGAGACCACGGCGGCGCTCCCGCCAGGACCAAGGCCACTCAACATTGGCCCCTGGACTTGAATATACCTGGGGGGCCAGGTCTGCAGGGTCGGGGCGCAGGGCGCTCGGGAGGCATGCCACTTTTTTTCTCAGTCTGCACTGCTTGCGATCAGCTGGCCGCCATGGGCGACGTGCCGACACCTCCAAAGTGGCACCGACGACCAGAGAATCAACTTGTCAGGTCCCTGCGCGCAGCTCTCTATGGAAAGGCAGGGGACCTGGGCCCAGGAACATACTCAGCCCTGGACCCACCTGGCGTGCGTCCTGGCAGACCTTTTTCGAGACGGCTCCTGCTGCGGCGACGAGAAGCCTCCAGGAGGCCAAAAAGGCATACTCCAGATTTCGTAATAAAGGGAGGGGGGTCTCATTTCGGGAGGGGGTCTCTTCCAGGCTATCTTGGAGAGCCTGGGGGGTCTGGGGACGATGTTTTGGAGGGTTCTCCCACGGGGCAGGTCTGAAATGGCTTGTCTTGGAGGGTCCAGACCCCCTCCCTTTTATGACAAAATCTGGAGTAACAAAACAAGGGAGGGCCGCCCTTGCCTCGACCGGCCCCCAAAAAAGAGGCCGCTGTGCCTCAGGCGACCGCCTCAGACCCTCGCGATCCGCTGGCTCGAGGCATCCCGCAGGCTCTTCGACACGTCGCCCCACCACTCCTATCAGAGGGGCGTAAGACACAGGTACAGGGGACTCGGAAATCCCCGACGAGGTCGTCAAAAAATGACGAGGCCGAGCCTGCATTTTGACGAGGCCTCCCGCTGCAGACATCCCACGAAATTCCTACTCGTCAAAATCCGAGTCGCGGTCGTCAAAAAACGATGGCGAACCCGAGTCCTGGCAAACCCGGGTCTTACGCTCCCCCGATCCTAGAGCAGCATGATTTATCAGAGGTTCGTGAGGATCTCTTGGGTCGGCGCTGGACCCTTCTCCTTGGCGCGCGGAGCACGCCAAGGGCGGCGCCGGAAGCGCCGCGGAGAAATCCGCGCGGAGCTCCGAGAAGCTACGTTCATGCAGCTCTGTGTTCTTCGGTACTCCTCCGCTGCATCCTCTCTGCCTCCTCGTCGTCGCCTTCCTGTTCCGCGCCTTCCGCTGATCCTCCTCGTCGTCGTTGTCCTCATCCTGTTGTTACGTAGTCTTGTCTGTTCTTCGAGCTCCGTGAGGAGCGCGCGGCCGCTGCCCTTGGACAGGAGCTGCTCCACCGCCTTTTGAGCATGGACCGACCCTCCCAGCATGCCTACAGGCCTACCCCCAAATGTTCTTAGAACCCAGAAATGTTGCAAGAACAGAAAGCAATGCCCTTGGAAGAGAAATCCAAAGTGCTCAAAGCAGGCCAGTACCAGCCAGAAATGCTCTAAGAAAAAAGTTCGTGCAGACCACGAGAGGTTCTTAGAACATTGCCTGGTGGGCCCATCAGCGAGCCGGGACGCTTCGCCACTGCCTGACGCCTTCTGCACCTCGGCGTCCCGCTGCCCGGCCAGCGCCCCGATCACCTCGAGGACCCGCTGCGGGGACACCGACAGGTCCAGGCCCTTGTTGGGGTCCACCTGGCCGACTCCAGAAACCCAGATCTCTGAGCGTACGGCAGGTTCGTGCAGCGTCGGCACGCGCAAAGGGTTTTGACACCGAGTCGATCGTTCCACCTTGCATCGATCGCGGCCACGACCGTTCCAGGTTGAATTCCGCCGGGTCCGGTGGCGTCACCGTGCCCCTCGGTGCTTCAGCGTTGCAGAATTCCATCTTGAACGCCTCCGCCAGCGTCGCCGGCGGGCCATTGCCGCACGAACCTACCGCGTGCATGGCTACCTACCAGACCACCCCAACCCAACCCGAAGACCCGAATTTCGGGTGGGCGGGGTACGGGCTCCATGTGTGTTTTTTCAATGCTCCCCGACCCCCCCCAACTGGAAATGGAGGGCAAATTGAGGCCTTCGGGTTGGGTTGGGGTGGTTTGGTGGGTGGTGGGTGCAGACGTGCGCCACGCGTGCGCCACGCGCGCGGTGTGTCCCCCCGTGGGCCGCACGCAACAACAACGCCTCCGAAGCCCGGGAGGCCGCAGGCTGCGTGTCCCGATCTCGCTCGGGAGAGGCCGGGCTCCGCCCACGGGGGGCTGCCGCTCGTCCAGATGGAACTCGGAGACCATAGGGTTAGAGGCCTGGAAATTGTCACCAACACCAGCCCAGGGGGTTGCCTCCAGAGGGGGCAGATGATCCTAGACTTCGGTGCTGGTGGTAATATTTCGGCCACCTTGGAAGCAAGAGTATTACCACCATCACCGAGATGGGGATCGTCTTCCCTCGGTGGAGGCACACCGCCGGGGCAGACGGTCGGGGCGTTGACCTAAGGAACGATAAATAAGGAACGGGGCCCCTTTTTCCCACAGGTTAAGCTCCGATTTCCCATCGAAAGCCAAAAAGGAAAACCCAAGGCAAACTGTGAAGCAATCAAGGAACACGGAGCCCCTCCCCAACGAAAAGGGTTCCTTCTTCAGGGCCCCGACTGTACGGTCGGGGGGGGTTCCTTTGCGTGTCACCGCGGCGGCCTCAGCGACGCGCTAGGCCCTGCGAGCTGACAGAATGTCGCTCAGCACCGCGGGGCAGGAGGTACGGGAAGGCTCGGGGCGGCGGTGCTTGCGAACTGGTGAGTTGTTAGCGTGTCGCGTCGAAGAGCGCGGTGGGCCCAAACCCGGCGGCGCGGCACGCTAAACCAAACAAACCCGGCGGCGCGGCACGCTAAACCAAAGAGGATGAGGAGGAGGAGGGAGGAGGGAGGAGGGAGGAGGGAGGAGGGAGGAGGGAGGTGGTTGAGGAGGAGGAGGAGGAAGAGGAGGAGGATGAGGAGGAGGAGGGAGGAGGGAGGAGGGAGGAGGGAGGAGGGAGGAGGGAGGCGGTTGAGGAGAAGGAGGAGGAAGAGGAGGAGGATCGACCGTACCTGAGGCGAGCCAGTTCGCACGCACCGTCAGCCGCATTAAATGTCAGTGGCGTGCTGTGCTGCTGCGAAAGCGGCTCGCTGTTGGCTTGGCGTGAGCTGGTCCCCATGGGTCACCGCAGTTTTCGCCTTGTGATACGTATGGAATGCCAACACGGCCAAACGCAGCGCATCAGCACGAGAGAACGTGCAGCTCTCACATTTGTATTCGTTATCAGCCGCTAGGCCAAGGAAAGTCAGTGGGTTGAGGGGGAGGCCGACGAGGGAACGGAGGACGGGGCAAGAGAGGTAGTGAGCAATGGAGTCGGGCTGAGCGCACCCGAAAAGGCAGTTGACGGGTCCACACACGTGGACTCTATGGCTAGTTGTCCAGCCGCCTGCGAGGGTCTTAAGGATCGACCATTGCCAGGCAGGCTTGAATTTCTTGATCGTTGCTAGACAGTCCCCCCGCCGCTCCGCCACCCCGCCCACGATGTTGCCAGCAAGGCCCCAAGCGCTCAGACGCTTGGAAATCGTCACTTCGGCGGATGAGGATGAGGAGGAGGAGGAGGAGGGAGGAGGGAGGAGGGAGGAGGGAGGAGGGAGGTGGTTGAGGAGGAGGAGGAGGAAGAGGAGGAGGATGAGGAGGAGGAAGGAGGAGGAGGAAGGAGGAGGAGAGTCGCTGTCCCTCGAGTCCGGACTCTGGGGCCCGCGGTTGGGCCCCAGGCGCGCCCAGGGAAGCGAGTCGGGGCCTCTGGGGCCGCGCACTGAGCAGCACGTTGGCCAGCGTGGAGCCCGATGCCACCTCCTCCTGCTCCTCCTCCTCCTCCTCCTCCTCCTCCCCCTCCTCCTCCTCCTCCTCCTCCTCCTCCTCCTCCTCCTCCACCTCCTCCTCCTCCTCCTCCCGATGGCCTCAGGATGCAGGGCGGTCAGAAGGTGGCATCCCTCCTCCACCCCCCTCCGGAACAGGCTTGTGCGATCTAGCTTGTGCGATCTACATTGAACAATCCACGTAGTGCACTCTACGTGGTTCAATCGTTGTTGCGCAATACGTGCACCTATACATAAACACAGGTACGCTGCGCCGTAGATGTTGTGCAATGTGCTGTTGTGACGCACGTGTGGAGCAAACGATGAGGTGCCATTCGAGTGGCGCAGTAGATGCAATGTGTGATGTGCAAGCTACGTTGTGAAATTTATGTGGCGTAATGTATGTTGTGCAGTCTATGTGGTGCGCAGTCTGAGTGGAGCATTCGACGTGGTGGGATATGCGTGGTACAATTTACGATGTGCAAGTGATGCTGAGCCATGCGCGTGATGCAACCGATGTTGTCCAAGTCGTGTATATATACGTAAATATACATGTGTTGCACAAACTACGTTGTACAACTTCGGGTGTGAAGTATGTGTGGAGCAAACAATGTGGTACAACGTATGTGGCGCAGTAACTATGTGGTGCGAAATCGATATAGCTGTATATTTCTATAAATGTATATGTATATATATAGAGAGAGAGAGAGATTTAGCCCGCAGAATCCCAAGATCGCCAGCACACTGTTTTTTCGTGTCTGGAGCCAAGGCGATAACCTTCGATCGGTAGGGCGAAGGCGTAGGCCACCAGACGCGCCCGGAGATTCCCGAAGCAGAGGCTCGTGAATGCATATTCAAAGAGGACTCGGCAGACAGCAGGCAGGCTGTCAAGCGAGGGAATATTCATGGAAAAACAGAAAGGCGAAAGAGGGCAGAAAAGGGGTGGGAGGGAGACTTGAGCAGTACGCCGACGGGACGTCGATGCGGCGATCCTGCAGCTGCTTGCACATCATTTCTGCTTGTTAAAAGCGGCCAGAGATTTAGCCCGCAGAATCCCAAGATCGCCAGCACACTGTCTTATCGTGTCTGGAGCCAAGGCGATAACCTTCGATCGGTAGGGCGAAGGCGTAGGCCACCAGGCGCGCTCGGAGATTCCCAAACCCGAATGGTAAACCTGGCCGGCAGGCCGAAAAACAAACTCAAGCAATGAAACAAGGAAACTCAAGGTTTGAACCTGCTCCACAACAAAGAAGTTCTTAAAGATTCGGCTGCGTCAATCATGGTGCGAGCAATTGCAAGGCAGAGAGGCTTCGGATACGCGGCGGCGATCGAAGTCCAGTGTCTACCCCCAGGAGCCCGCCCAGCAAACTCCTGATGCGGCACTTTCGATTTACTGCAGATCCTACCACTGGCATCACAACGATGGCAAAGACGAGACAGGCAGCCGCTCCGCCACGCAACGACTCGCGTGGCCTTTTTCCAAGGGGCCTTAAACTGGCATTGGTCAAGGCGGGCTTCGACACAGTCGCGAGAGCGTCTCAGCGCGAGCATGCGGGGGGCTTCCCACAGAAGCGACCTGTCGGGATTTTCTACGAAAGCTGGCAGCCCAACCTTGCGACAGGCGTCTATAAGACGGCAGGTGACATGACAAGTGCTGTTACCTACCTCTAGAGAGAAAGATCTGCACGGCCCATGGGGCTCGACGACGAACGGAGCGGTTGCCTTAAAGCCTGCGACCAGGTGGCGCAGGGAGTGGCAAGCCACACTCCCAGCACCGCCCCCGACGCGATCCAGCCTCTCAGCATTTTCTCGACGGTTCGAATCAGAAGATTGCCATGCACACCCATCTGAATGTCAAGCGAAACGGCAGCGTATCCCGCTTGTCTTAGTTGGTGGCCTACTCCTTGCGAGCCCGCGAACAAGTCTAAGAAAACCCAGTGCTTGCGCCGGCGGGCAGTCCGCAGCGCTCGCCTGAACTCACGGCGCAGCCGCCGCGCTATGCCAGCAGAGGGACGGCAGAGCGGCGGCGGCCCACCCGCTTGCGGCTGGCCGCCACGCCAGCGGGCCGCTTGCGAGCTGCCCTGCAGCTCAGGGCGTCGAAGCTCGGCAGCCCAGCGGAGCCGCTCTCGGCCAGGCGCCTGACGAGCAGCCTGAGCGGGTCGGGCACGATGTCGATCACGCCCGAGCGCAGGAAGCCACTCTCCACCAGACGCTGGAAGTTCTGCTCCACGATCTCTCCGAACTTGAAGCTGGCCAGCGGGACGAGGCTGATCTCTCGCAGGAGCTTCGACTCCTTGGCGTACCTGGCCATGGACGAAGCTGCCTTCCACCGCCCCCTCCGACGCACCTGTTCGACCGTGCGCCGACTGCTGAGGAGGTCGTCTGATGCCCCTCCGTGCCGAAGCGAATAAAGATGTGGCCTGAGACTGTCCAGGTTCAGCATCGACACCGCTTTTGAGAAGACTGCGCGAAGCTCCACTGCAGTGAAGGGCCAGAGCGTCTCCTGGGGAGGCGTGGCTAGCTTGAGGGCCCGTGAGAGGGGATTGAGAAACACATCCAGGTCTATCAGGACTGACTCCTCGAACAGGCCCGTCTTGCTAGGCTGAGCTTCGGCGATGCCGTGCAGTAAGAGCCCCCAGGCCTGGTAGGCGGGACCAGCTGTCGCCGTGGGGCTTATCAGGTGTCTGCCCATTAGTTTGAAGCACTCGAAGGGGCGAAGATAGCACACGAAAGATATCACAATCCAGAGCGCCATCCGCATATGGCCCAGAGCCAGAGCGACCCCCGCGATGGCAAAAGTCGCTGACCTCGGCAGCGGGCAGCGCGTGAA